GTGTGTTTTGTGCTCGCGTAGAGGGCTTCGCTTTTTGTTCGTCATTTGTTTTTAGGTTTTACGAGTGTTAATTCTTCCAATGGAAATTGAACTTATGTTCATGTGTTCAATGGCTCCCTAAAATTTAACATATGGAGTTTTGGTCATTAAAATTTCAAAAATATTGGAGGTTACTCGCCGATATAACTTTCATTTAAAAACTCTAATGGAATTGATGACGTAGCTGACGGAATGTGCCCGTGACATCCCGTCATGTCGTTAAATTTTGAGATGATTGAGGGTGCGTTTGACACCCATTTTTTGAAGATAAAAATTTTTAGAATAGTGATTGATGAAAGAATGTGTGGTGGAAAAGTTTTAGATTTGTGTGTAATATTATTTTATAGGGAGAATGTGTGGTTGAAATGAAGTAAGAGAAAAAAATGAGAATGAGAATGAGAAAAAAAAGGGTGTCAAACAGGGGCTGAATTTTAATCACTATATTTTGAAAAATATCTCTGATTGCTTGCTAAACTTTGTAAAACATCTTCTACTGCTCACTAAATTTTAAGGTGGTCGAATTTTGATCGCTAAACTTTGAGATGTCGAATTTTGGTCGCTAAATATGTCATCACCATCATGAAGATTATCATAGAAAATGAATAACCAAAGTGCAATTAGACTAAGTAAAAATTACATATTTCATGATAGAACAAAATATATTGATGCTAAATATCACTTTATAAGATATATTATATCTAAGGGGATACTTAAGATATGAAAAGTTGCAACTCATTTCAATCATTCTCATATGGGATCTAAAATAATACACTTGAGTGAGTTTATGAATTGCTTGAAGTTATTATCTGTTAATTGATTGTACAGGCACAATGAGCGCATTAAATTGAAACTGTTGGTGAGGCTTGGTTTGCAATGTAAGAGTCCAATTTTTGGTAGCAGGGACAGCCAGAAAAGATGTGATGGTGAACTACAATTTATAAAATTTTCAATGAACCCACGTCATAAAAGATACTCAAAATAAGTAAATTTTTTTCTTGTAACTATGAATAAGTAATATGTGAAAATATACATAGGAAAAAATTTAATTACTTAAACAAGTAATTCACTTTTAATTTTAATAAAAAAATTGATTTTTTATAAAATTTACTTATTTAATTGGAAATTAACCTTTTAAAGTTGGTCAAATATAGATGAAATAAAATACCTAACTTGATAATGAGTTTTTCGTATTTTATTCAAATGTGAATTAGATGAATGTGTAATATACAAAGAATATTTAACTAAATTTGGCCTATTTATAATTAGACTAGGGCTGAAAATTAAGTTAACTGGGCTAAAGTGGAATTTACATTTAACTAGATTTTTTAAGTTTCAACTTCAAAATTCAAATGTAAAGTTTTTAATACAAAAATCAGATGATAACATAATTTTTAAATATTAACAATAATATTATAAAGTAAAATAAATCTGCAAACGCCGTACCCACCAAAACAACTCACTCCAATTTAAACTAATCTACACACCCAACCTACCTTTGTTCACCCCAAACCCGAATTCTCCTTTCTCTAATTTTCCCGCTCTTCCTCGGCAACACAACTCCGGCGTTGAGTAGCAGAATCGGAGGCGTAGCCGCCGCTTCATCTCAATGGATGCGTTGCTCTTTGCCTCAGTGGATGCGCAGCTCTGCCGCTTCGCCTAAGTGGATGCGTTATCAGATGGTCACATCTTAAATAGAGTTGAGGCACAGTGTTGCAAAGCAAAACCAGCTTTGCGTAGCGGAGTCGAGGCACGGCTATGTGATGCGCCCTAGTGGTTTTGCCGGTCACAGCGCCACTTGTGGATCTAAAATTTTCTCTGGCATTACAGATCACATCGGCGATCTGGACTTTTCTCCAGTGTCACAAATCACAGCGCCGTTTGTGGAGGTTTCTATGGTGATTTTGCGGCGTTTTGCGATAGTTTTGTGGTGATTTTTCTAGGTGTTGGTGGTGCAGGCGACGATAGTGTACTCTGGTAGTGGCAATGGCATGGGGAGTTTGTGGATTTTTTGGTGGGGTGGTGGTTGGGTTTAGTGTAGATGGAGGTAGAGGAGATGGTGGTGGAGGTGGTATGTTGTGGGAGGTGCGGTGTGCAGTAATGGTATGTTGTGGGCGTGGTGGTGTGGTAGTGGTGTTGCAGGTACTGTGGTGAGGTGATGGTGGTTCTGGAGGCGACGATACTCATGATGGTGGCGGGAAGAGTGTTGTGAACAATTTTTTTGGTATTGTGACCAATAAATTGTTAATTTATGACTAGTATATAATATGTGACCTAGAAAAATGCGTAATTGTAACTAAATTTGAAATTGTGACCAATTAATTTGATAATTTTGTAATCGTGAAATAATTTATGATCTATAAAATTTGTAATTTGTGAGCGTGAAATAAGTTGCGACTTATAAATTTTTTTATTTGTAATCGAGAAAAAATAATTTGTGACTAATTAATTTGATAATATGTGATCAAGAAATAAGTTGTATAAACACGTAATTGTGACCATAATATATTTAATTAATTATTTCATGAATAAAATTTAATTAATATCCGATT